TTAAAAGATGCTTGCTCCTTGGAAGAAAAGCTATGACCAACCTAGACAGCATATTAAAAAGCAGAGACATTACTTTGCCAACAAAGGTCCATCTAGTCAAAGCTATGGTTTTTCCAGTAGTCATGTATGGATGTGGGAGTTGGACTATAAAGAAAGCTGAGTGCTGAAAAATTGATGCTTTTAAACTGTGGTGTTGGAGAAGACTTGAGAGTCCCTTGGACTGCAAGGAGATCCAACCAGTCCATCCTAAAGGAAATCAGTCTTGAATATTCATTTGAAGGACTGATGCTGATGCTGAAACTCTGATACTTTGGCCACCTGATGCAAATAACTGACTTATTGGAAAAGACCCTGATGCTGGGAAAGACTGAAGGCAGGAGGAGAAGGGGATGGCAGAGTATGAGATGGTTGGATAACATCACAGACTTGATGTACTGGAGTTTGAGGAAACTCTGGGAGATAGTGAAGGACAGGGAAGCCTTGGGTGCTGCAGTCCATGGCATTGCTGGGAATCGGACAGGACTGAACGACTGAACTGAGCTGAACTGAACTTGAATAGTTGAACATGGCAATAGGCTAGAAAGGTACACATCCCTGGCTTGGACAGCCCTGTCGTCAGCTCGGCCCTCTGAGCTATCCTTCAGACAAAGTGGGTTAGTCACTCAGCCATGTCTGACTCTTTGTAACCCCATGGACTGTAGCCCGCCAGGCTCCACTGTCCATGGAATTCTCCAGGCAAGAACACTAGAGTGGGTAGTCATTCCCTTCTCCATGGATCTTCCTGATGTAGGAATGGAACCCACGTCTCCTGCATTGCAGGATGATTCTTTACTGTCTGAGTGACTGTGGACATGCTGTCACCAATTGCCCAGAAGCCCATTCTAGAAATGTATATTCCACATACATGGGTCTCAGTGCTGAGGTGATGGTGAGGTGATCATGGACCCCCCTTCCTTCCCTTCACGTTGCTTGCTGCAGCTCAGACAGTTGTACTGTATTTCTGGCCTCAGTTAGAAAACAAATCAGTGTGTTTCAAACTTTTGGGCTACCACCCACAGTAAGAAATACGTATCATATTGTTACTACATATATATGTGTATATATCTATGTGACTAAAAAAGTTTTATAGAACAAGTACCCTATCTAATGTCATACACTATTATTTACCTGCTTTTTTTGTACTCTGTATTATAGAATTGTCTCAGATGGGAGCCAGATCAATGGTTTTCAAAAAATACTTTGCACTAAGAAATAATTTCACACTGTGATCTGATGCACATACATGTGTGTGAATCTATAGGACCAAAAGAAAAGTTTTACAAAATACTGCTGGTTGTTTTCTTCATATAAAACACCTATTAATTTTCTATTCCATTGTATTATAGTTTTGTTGATGGTTTCCAAAAAATATCTGGCTATATGTACATCTGCAAGCTTCATGAGAGCGTGGAGAGCCCCAGCCAAGGAAAATGTCCTACAGGGTGGTAGAATTATTGCAAACATCCTTGTACTGACAGTGTACTTTACCGCACCCTGTGCATGACACAGCCTCAGTCTCAAAGTCTGTCTGGTGAGTCAGAAATGTCTTTATTCTGTCTTGTTTATTTTCATTTGGGGATGGAGAGCCAGATGAGAGGAACTCCAGGAGAATTTCTAGAAGTTGTCATGAATTGAGAGCATAGGTTGAATATAAACTTTTTGAAAGTTACAAAATCCCAATAAAAACATGCTAAAATAAAAGCAGAATTTACTTACACAACTGAATGTACAGGAGAGATTGTCTTCAGGCTCAGCTTGATCCAGTGCTCAACAACATTCTAAGATCTGTTACTCATAGCAGGTTCCCCTGTGGTGGCTTCATTCCCCAGGTGATTCTTCTTCTGGTAGCAAAACATGGCCTTTTCAGTCTTAAACTCGAAAGCACTATGAGCTGCGGGGAAGAGTCGTATCCCTGCGTGGGGTCATGTTCCCATGCCTGAATCAACTCTTGTGTCTGGGGGACAAGATATGCCAGTAGGTTTAAGCCAGTCGGAGCCAGACAGGGCCTTCCCCTGGTGCTGGGCTGCCAATGGCAGGTGCTGACTCTAAAAGCCTTGAAGGCAGTGTGGAGACAGGTGAGAGAGTTGTGGGGGCTTGTCAACAGATGGGGACACAGGAGAAGGGTTAGCACTCGAGGGGCAAGGAGCAGCCTGGGTGAAGCCTGGAGCCATGTTAAGTCAACTGATAATGGCCAGAGCTCCAGGTCTCACATGGCTGTGCTGTGAAGGAGGAACCTAGAGCTAATAAGGCAGGCGGTGGTTCTGAATCCAGGCTACGGAATGAGGACTAAATGTGGCAGCTAGTCAGAATTTGAAACAAGGTTCGGAGCAAAATGGGTCCTTTCCGAGACTCATCTTGCACTGGCAGAGTGAATAGGGGACAGGCAAGCCTGGGAGGCCGTGGCAGTGGTCCAGGCAAGAGTTAAATGAGCATCAACAGGGAAGCAGGGAGCAGGGAGACAGGAGAGGAACTAACCTTAAACTCTGGGCTGCTTTATCTCCTCACCTGAAAAGAACTATCTAGCCTGTTGACTTGTGCACAGGAGAGAAACATCCTTTAATGTTTAGTTGGCTTCAAACAAAGATCAAATTATTCCCAAGAGCTTTACTTTTCAAAGGCAGGAAACTATCTGTTGAGGGAAAATGAGCCAATGGTCATGTAACTCATTATACGCATCTATCCCATCAAATGGTTAAACTACTTTGCAATAAAGCAGACAGAATAGAGATATTTCTAACTCATCAGACAGGCTCTGGAGACCTCCTGGGACCCTCTGATCAGAATTCCTCTTTCTCTTACCCCATAGAACCTTGGGTCCAAGTGTCTTGCCTCTGCGTTACATATGTGCACGTTTACCACCCACTATGAGTCGGAGACCAGAAACCTCTTCTTGTTGACTAAAATCATTTCTCTTACATCTTCTCCCTCCCTTTCCCGAGCACCTCTGCCTGGACCCAAACATCATGATAGGTGCTGGAGATACGGAGATGAGTTCAGGTAGTCCTAAATATGAGGAGGCTCTACTGTGGGAAGTGAGACATTTGACAAGCACTAGAAGAGACTCTATGCAGAATACAGAGGGAGGAGAGATATGGTGAGATCAGGAAATGCTTCATCAGAGGCAACATGTGATATGAGTCTTAAAAGACCAGCAGCCAGAGAGACGGGCAGGAGAGAGAAAAAGCATTGAGTGGGAAGCACTCAGTCAGGCAGGGAGGTGTTCTATTGTGGGGGAGGCCATCACAGCTTTGACCTCATGGGTGTCTACAGAAATACATATCCATTTCTTTTAGATCACTTTCAGAGCAGCTCCCAGCCATGCTGGCACTGAGACATCATGGATAGGAGCCTTTCATATATTCTTATTTAATTCTTACTACAACGCCATATAATAGAAACAATAAGAGGAACCCCAGTTTATAGAAAATGGAGATTTAGCAAAGTGGTAGAGAGGCGTGCAACTGGGAACGGAGTAGAGGGTGGGCTTGGGAATAGTCCTGGCTTGCAAGTCTTTTGCTCCAGGAGAGCATGCAGCCACTGCCTCCTCTCTGCTTGCAATGATTGTCCTTTTGGAGTTGATTCAGGTTGGAGAACTGGGACCCCTTTTCTGCCCTCAGCTATGTCACTTCTTTATTCCACTTATCAGAATCAGCCCAACAATTTTTTTTTTATTGAAGCATAGTTGATTTACAATGTTGTGTCAGTTCCAGATGTACAGCAAAGTGATGCTATTCATTCTTTTTAGTATTTTTTCCATTATAGGTTATTACAAAATATTGAATAGAGTTTCCTGTGCTATACAATAGGTCCTTGTTGCTTATCTATTGTATAATAGTAGTGTGTATATGCTAACCCCAAACTTATAATTTATCCCTCCCTGCTCCTTTCTCCTCTGGTAAACATAAGTTTGTTTCCTATGTCTATTTCTGTTTTGTAAACAAATTCATTTGTATCATATGTTAGATTTCACATGAAAAAGCAATATCATGTTATTTGTCTTTCTCTTTCTTAGTATTATAACCACTAGGTTCATTAATGTTGCTGCAGATGGCATTATTTCACTTTTTAAAATTGAAAGCCCAATAGTTTTGACATTTGACAGCCTTGAAGAAGCCTGTTATAGATAGTCAGACACACATATAGAATAAACTGTACGCACACAGACACACACATTTGGCATAACATGGTGATGGTTAATCTAAAATGAAAGACTACCTACTGTTAAGAATACATGTTTACTTTTACTAAAATAAGTCAACTAAGATTCATTTCTCCTTACATTAGAGCCACTTACAAGTACATTGAAAACAAGGAGTAATCTTGTAGAAATGGAAACACTGATACTTAGTTATTTTTATGTTTTTCTTTTAAAAATAATTCTTAGCTGCAGAAAACATTTTAAACATTCCTTGAACTCCATAAAACATTGCTTTACTCACATAACTAACATGCTTATACTTCAGTGGTACGTGGCTGACATCACCAAGTCTCACCTTCAACTTAGAATTCAAGGTCGGCAGTAATTTCACTGTAATATATGTTTCTAGTTTCATTTACAGGCTACTTGTAGAGTTCTTTCTTTTTGTCCATGCTCACTTCTCTCTATTTACTTTTAGCTTTGGTCCTGCCTCCTCAGTGATCCCTGTTGCTATTGACAGTACTGTCTGTTTTTGAAAATACTCACTAGGAATCCAAAGTCTTCTTCTGACTGAGGTTCCAGTCTGGCACATTGTGGAAGCATGTCTTTTGCCAGGGATGTGTCTACCAATTTCTTTACCCTGTAGGTGAGCCTGGCTGGAGCTGATTCCCTTCTGTACCTCTTGTTTGATCCAGAACAGAAAACTCTAGTCTCATGGAGGGCTTAGCTGGACAGACCCATTTGGTATGTGTCAAACCCACACCTTGTTACTACCTCAAACAAGAATAAGAAGTGATAGTGAAAAGGTAAGGCATAAAGCAGATCAAGGTAACCCTCCTCCATGTCTTGTTTCATTATGTTCCTTACTAAAAAATGCAAGCCAGATCCTCAGATCTCTTTTGAATTCCAGGGGGGGACTAGGGCAGACATATGGGTTCAAGAAGTGGAAGGATGTGTTTGTGACACAAGGAAAAGAGGAAACTGAAAACCGGAGCAGAACACTGCAGGGAAGGGTCACGCTGTAAACCAGCCAAGAGTCACAGAAAAGAGTTTTGAAACTTCTGTGAAGCAAGAACTTAAGAGAAGGAACACAGCGGTCACCGGGTGCCAACTTGATTTTCTTTTTACGTTTAGTCAGGGGGATGATACAGACACTGTGTTTTAGCAACATGTTTGTTAAAGGCTTCTACTACATCTTTATAAAAAGGTAGTGAAATGCTACCTGCTACCAAGCAGGTCAGTTCTATCCAAATTAGCAGCTTTCTCTCACCCTACAGGGAATCCTTGCCTAGAAAACCATCTCCTGAATAATATGCTTATCAGTTTTATACTTAGCACAGACAATAAGAGATTAAATGTATAATACATGACAGAATTAAAATTGTTTTGACAGGCTGACACCAGTAAGATTAAATTTAACATAGATAAATGTTAAGTTCTTTATTTAGGTTAATTTTTTTTTCCCCTGAGGTTGATATGATTTGGCATTCAGGATTATAGGAAGATGCCACTGGGAATTGTAGTTTAAAACTTGCCCATTTTAAAATGCAATTAAATTTTTAAAAATTCCATATATATTTTCTATGTTGATTCTGATAAATAATTCAAATATTCAAAGTCTTGTTTGTTTTTTTCTGTTAAACCTCCTCTATGCTGACATATTTCCTTGTGTGGTTTGTGATATTTGTATAGATTATACAAATACATACTTGATGAGATGTCTACAAAGGAATATTCCCCCCAAAATTTATGAATAGAAATATGGATTTGGACCAAAGTTTTTGCTCTGAATTGGTCAGATGGTCTGGGTTGAACTGGATTAAATAATAGATTAGACAAGATAAGGGAATATTAACAAATCAGAAACTAGAATTGAAAAACTTAACTAGGATGTGGCACATAAAGACAAGGAGATGAAATATATGAAAGAGTGATTTAGAGCATGGAGGGTAAAATAGGAGACCTACTATGTATCTAATCTAAGTCCAAAGAAAAGGAAAACAGAGGAAATACAGGAGAGGCAATAGGTGAAGAGAAAATGTCTAATCATTTTCCAGAACTGATGAAAGACATCAATTAGTACACGTAGGAAGGAGCTTGTTTACTTAGCAGAAAAAAAAAAAAGAAAGAAAATCTGTATCTAGACATGTTATAGTAAAACTTCACAAGCACAAAGACAGAAATAAGATTGAATAAGCAGTCAGAGACCATGCAACAGAATAAAGTAAAACAGGAGACTTTTCAACAGCAGCATAAGGAGACAGTATCCTTAAAGAAGTGAAAGAAAATCACTTTTAACCTAGAATTATGTGTCCAGAAAATCAAGGATGAGATAAAGACATTTTCAAGGATTTAAATCTGATATTAAATACCTACAGATAAATCTTTACCCATGTAAATTTTAAAGTATGTAATTTAAGAAAGATAGAAACATATAGAAAATGTCTGATTTGCAAAAGTATATAAAGCAAGGAAATAAAGTAAAACTAATATACATTAAAGCAAGTATGTATTTTTAGATATTTTAATTTAAACTGTATTATATATAAAATATATAAGAATAAAAAAATAATATAATGTGTGGCATTAAAAATGGGGCAGATGGAAATAGGCTGTATGTAAGAATTTTATGACTATGGATGAGAGGGTTCCTTGATTATTCAGGCAGGGAATCTACAGAAATTGATTAATCAAAGAATTAAGTTTATATATATATATATCATGTATATATATATATATATATGATAAAATTTTACTTCAAGCAACCATTAAGAAAGGACATATTGCTTTCAAACTAATAGGAAAAAAAATCAAATAGTAATCACAATCAGTTGAAACAAAGAATAGTAAAGGAAATAAAAAATTAGAAAAAGAAGAATGAATGGAAATTACAAAGTAAGATTATGGTAACAAGTCTAAATATAGTATTAATCTCCCCAGATTGGAAGTGAACTCAACTTTCTCGTAAAAGTCAGAGATTGTCTGGTTTGAAAAAGAAAAAAAAATGTTTTTTTATGAGAAATGCCTAAAATTTAAAGACATGAGATACTGAAAATAAAAGAATGAAACAAGACGGTCCTAGAAAATACTAACCAAAGGAACACTGAGGTAGCTATTTTAATGGCAGAAAAATGAAGACTTTAGAAAAAAGCAATACAGTATTAAGAATACAAGTGGTTAATACCAAATGATAAAAATTAATTTCACCAGGAAGAATAAACAGTCATAAAGTTGTGTGCACCTCAAAATAGCTAAAATATTTGTTGACTTGTAGAAGGGAAATTCAGTATCATATTAGAGGATTTCCAAGTACTTCTCTGTTATAGTTTGACCTAGTAGACCATAAAAGCAATTACTGCTATTTATAAGAGAAGCAATTCAAATGAAGACAAAGAACAATTCAAATTTAAAAAATATAAAAAGGATAGAAGAGAATGTAAACATACAAGCATTCATAAAATAAAAACAAATGTAGGTATACTTCTGCCAAACAATGGACTTTAAGGAATGAGATATTACTAAATATAAAGAGGGATATTTCATAATGATAAAAGGATCACTTCAACAGGAAGATTTAAGATCCTAAATACATATGTACCTAATGACACATTTTCAAAGTATATAAAGCAAAAATTTACAGTCTAGAAGAAGAAATAGACAAATTTGCAATGATAGTTACAGATTTCAATACATAGCTCTTAGTAACTTAATGAACAGTAAAGGAAAAAAATTAATAAGTATAAAAAGATTTAGACCACACTTGTAATAAACTTGACTTAAATTGACAAAAAGAATATTATATACAACCATACCAGAATACAGGTTTTGATCATGAGACACTGATCAAAATGGATAATATTCTGGGCCATAAAATAATTCTCAATAAATTTCAAATAAAAACTGAAATCATGAAGAGTATGACTTTTGACCACAGTGGAAATGAATTAGAAAATAATAGTTAGAACATTTCAAGAAAATCCCTAAGTATTTGGAGATTGCATAGCACATATATGAATCACATGCATTAAAGAAGAAATCACAATAAAAATTGGAAAATATTTTAACTGAATGATAAGAAAAATTCAACAGTACAAGAACTGTGAACTTCCAGATGTTTAAGCTGGATTTAGAAAAGGCAGAGGAACCAGAGATAATATTGCCAACATTTGCTGGAGCATCAAAAATGTGAGCGAATTCCAGAGAAACATCTACTTCTGCTTTATTGATTACACCACAGCCTTTGACTGTGTAGATCACAATAAACTGTGGAAAATTCTTCAAGAGATGGGAATATCAGATCACCTTACCTGCCTCCTGAGAAATCTGTGTGCAGATCAAGAAGCAACAGAACCAGTCATGGAACAACGGACTGATTTCAAATTGGGAAAGGAGTACGTCAAGGCTGTATATTGTCACCCTGTTTATTTAACTTATATGCAGAGTACATCATATAAAATGCCAAGCACAAGCTGGAATCAAGATTGCTGGGAGAAATATCAATAACCTCAGATACGCAGATGATACCACCCTTATGGCAGAAAGTGAAGAAGAACTAAAGAACCTCTTGAAGGGACTTCCCTGGTGGTCTAGTGGTTAAAGAATCTGCCTTGCAATGCAGGGTATATGGGTTCAATCCCTGGTGAGGGAACTAAGATCTCACATGCTGCAGAGCTACTGAGCCCGGGCACTCTGGAGCCTGCGTACCACAACAAGAGAGCAAATCTGGCCCAATGAAGATCCCACATGCTGCAACTAAGACCCGACACAGCCAAATAAATAAATACTTAAAAAAAAACCCTCTGATTTATTTATTATCATTTTTTAAAATATTTATTTGTTTATTCATTTGACTGCCTCGAGTCTTAGCTGTGGTATGTGGGACCTACTTCCCTGACCAGGGATTGAACCCTGGCCCCCTGCACTGGGAGCATGGAATCTTAGCCACTGGACCACCAGGGAAGTCCCCCAAACCTCTGATTTAAAAAAAAAAAAATAGAGAACCTTTTGATGAAAGTGAAAGGGAGAGTGAAAGAGCTGGCTCAAAACTCAACATTCAGAAAACTAAGATCATGGCATCCGGTCCCATCACTTCATGGCAAATAGATGGGAAAGCAATGCAAATAGTCAGAGACTTTATTTTCTTGGGCTCCAAATCACTGCAGATGGTGACTGCAGCCATGAAATTAAAAGACTCTTACTCCTTGAAAGAAAAGCTATGTGACCAAATTAGACAGCATATTAAAAAGCAGAGACATTATTTTGCCAACAATTTCCATATAGACAAAGCTATGGTTTTTCCAGTAGTCATGTATGGCTGTGAGAGTTGGACTATAAAGAAACCTGAGTGCCAAAGAATTGATGCTTTTGAACTGTGGTCCTGGAGAAGTCTCTTAAGAGTCCCTTGGACTGCAAGGAGATCAAACCAGTCAAACCTAAAGGAAATCAGTCCTGAATATTCATTGGAAGGACTTATGCTGAAACTCCAATATTTTGGCCACCTATGCAAAGAACTGACTCATTGGAAAAGATCCTGATGCTTAGAAAGATTGAAGGTAGGAGGAGAAGGGGATGACAGAGGATGAGATGGTTGGATGGCATCACCAACTCTATGGACATGAGTTTGAGCAAGCTCCAGGAGTTTGTGATGGACAGGAAAGCCTGGCATGCTGCAGTCCATGGGGTCACAAACAGTTGGACACGACTGAGTGACTGAACTGAACTGACTGAAGGAAAATTCAACATAATAAAACTTGTGAGATGCTCCTAAAGCAGAATTTAGAGAATTTTATAGCTCTAATTTACATATTAGTCAAGACAAGACATATGGTTGAAAAAACAATCTAACCTATTCAAGAAACTAGAACAAGCATAGCAAATTCAACTGAAGAAAGGAGAAGGAAGAAAAAATAAAGATAAACAACTCAAGAATATATTAAGCAAATATATTACAATAAAGACAAGAAATCCCTGGCAAATTACAATGAAAGAAAAGATATATCAGATGTCCCAAAGAAATTAAAAAGAGAATAAGTATATTATGAAAAACTTTATTCAACTTAGATTAAATGGACAAATTTACTAAAAACCACAATTTACCAAATCGCTATGATAAAAAATAGAAAAATCAGAATAACTCCAGATGTATTAAAATATTAAATCTGTAATTTAAAATTTCTCCACACAAAAAATTACAGTTCCAAATGGCTTCAATTCTTCCAAAACTTATGGAAGAAATAACATCAATATCACATAAACTTTTCTAGAAAATAGAAAAAGAAGAAACACTTTCAAATTCATTAATGACACCAGCATAACCTTTACAGCAAAACCTGACAAAGCCAATATGAACAAAAAAGAAAAATTGCAGGTCAAGCTATCTCATGAACTCTGATGTAAAATTTCTTGACAAGCTATTAGCACTCAAATACAGTAAGGATATGACATCACAATGTTTATTCCAGTAATTCAAGTTTTATGAACTTTTGAAAATCAATGTACTTTAGCATACTGTAGAATAAGGAAGAAAATCTATTTCTCATCTTAATAGATGCAGAATAAGCATTTATTTCAATCCAAAAACACTAAAATAAAAACTCTTAGCAAACCAGGAATCGAAGGGAACCCCCTTCATCTGATAAAGTATATATCTACCAAAAGCCTACAATGAGCTCATTATTTTTTGTTTAAACAATAATAAACCATTTTCTCTGAGTTGGGAAAAAAAATTAAAATGACCACTCTTATCACTCCTAATCAATTCTGGACTAGAAGTTTTACTCAATATAATAAGCAAATTAAAAAATATGTAAAATTGGAAAGAAATAAAACTGTCAGTATTCACAGAAGCATGATTGTGTATGAAGACAATTGAAAGAATTTACAAACATACTCTTAAAATCACTGAGTTCATTTAGCTTTAATATTGGATATAAGATCAACATACAAAAATCAATTGTGGGGCTTCCCTGGCGGCTCAGTGGTAAAGAATCTGCCTGCCAATGCAGGAGACATGAGTTTGATCCCTGGTTGAAGATCCCACATGCTGTGAGGCATCTAAGCCTGTGTGCCACACTACTGAACCTGTACTCTAGAGCCCAGGGACCACCACTGCTGAGCTCATGAGCTGCCCTAGAGTTCATGCTCTGCAACAAGAGAAGCCACCACAATGAGAAACCTGCTCACCACAACTAGAGAGCAGCCTCCACAACTCACCACAGCTTGAGAGAACCCACATGCAGCAGCGAAGACCGAGCACAGTGAAAAATAAATAAATAAAGACATAAAACTATTTTTAAAAATCGGTTGTATTCTATATTGGAGAAGGAAATGGCAACCCACTCCAGTACTCTTGCCTGGAAAATCCCATGGGTGGAGGAGCCCAGTAGGCTACAGTCCGTGGGGTTGCAAAGAGTCAGACACGACTGAGCGACTTCACTTAATAACAAATAAGTAGAAAATTAAATTGCAAACAATATCATTTATAATAGCACCAAACAAACCCATCAAATTTCCAGGAATAGCTATAAGAAAAGATGTGGATGACTTCCATACAGAAAACTTTAAATTGTGCTCAAGAATTGAAGACATTATATTGAAGACATTGTTAAAATGTCATTTCTCTCTAAAGTCTCCATAGAATTAATACAATCTCAGTAAAAATCCCAGGTTTTATTAAATATGGAAAATGATACTTGGTTTCTAAAATTGTATGTGGAAATACAAAGTGCCAAGAACAGCTAAAGAATATTGATGACGATGAATAAGCTGGATACTTTTTAGATATCAAGACTTATGAAGTTATAATATTTAAGATAATGTGGCAAGAGTACAAAATGGTATAGAACTCAGTGTCAGAAATAACATGATTTACCAACAGAGTACCAGTGAAGTGGCATTTACAATAAATGGTGCTCTGTAAATTGGATTTCTGTAAATGGAAAAAAAAAGAACTTGACCCCTTCCTTACATCATATGCCCAAACCATACCCAAATCAATTTGAGCTGAGTCATAAATACAATATGGAAAGAAGAGAAAAAAAAATCAAGTTTCCTAGAAGAAAACGTAAGCAGTTAACTTCATGACTTTGGTCTCGGTAAGTGTTCTTAAATAATACACAAATCATACTATGTGTGAAATATTGACAAATTTGAATTAAAATAATTAAATTAAGAATTTTTAGTCATCAAAATATACCATTAAGACATGAGACATAGCTCAGTTGGTAAAGAATCCACCTGCAATTCAGGAGACTCCAGTTAGATTCCTGGGTTGGGAAGATCCACTGGAGAAGAGATAGGCTACCCACTCCAGTATTCTGGTCTGGAGAATTCCATGGACTGTATAGTCCATGGGGTCGCAAAGAGTTGGACAGAACTGAGCGACTTTCAGTTCACTTCAAGACATGAAAAGGCAAGCCACACCTTGTAATAAGGACTTATTCTCATAAAAATTCACATAAATAAGAAAAAACTTGATAGTCCAATTAAAAGAATTGGCCAGAAGAATACTGTCTATGTTTTCTTCTAGGAGTTTTGTTTTCTTGTCTTACATTTAGGTATTTAACCCATTTGACTTTATTTTTGTATATGGTGGGAGAAAATGTTCTAATTCAATTTTTACATGTAGCTGTTTAGTTTTGCTAGTGCCATTTATTGAAGAGACTGTTTTCCCCCACTGTATATTCTTGCCTCCTTTGTTGTAGATGAATTGACCACATGTGTGTGGGTTTATTTCTGGGCCCTCTGTTTTTTCCATTGGTCTAGGTGTCTGTTTTTTGTGCCAGTATCATACTATTTTGATTATTGTAGCTTTGTAGTATAGTCTTAAGTCAGGGAACAAGATACCCCAAGCTTTGTTCTTTTTTCTCAAGATTGCTTTGGCTATTCAGGCTCTTTTTTGGTTCCATACAAGCTTTAGGACTATTTGTTCTAGTCATGTGAAAAATGTTATGGGTATTTTAATAGAGATTGCATTAACTCTGTAGATTTCTTTGGGTCATAACGACATTTTAACCATATTAATTCTTCCAGTCTGTGAACACAGGATAATGTTTCATTTATTTGTATCATCTTCAATTTCCTTCATCAGTGTCTTAGTTTTCAGAGTATAGATCTTTCACTTCCTTGGTTAAATTTATTTCTAGATGTTTTATTCTTTTTGATGAGACCGTAAATGGTATTATTTTCTTGATTTCTTTTTCTCATAGCTCATTACTAATGTATAGAAATGCAACAATTTTATGCATATTAATCTTGTATCCTGCAACTTTACTGAATTCATTTATTAGTTCTAATAGCTTTTGGTGGAGTCTGAGGTTTTCTTTGTGTGGTATCATGTCACCTGCAAATAATGACAGTTTTACTTCCCTTCCAATTTGAGTCCATACAGTCTTTGATATAGATCTTAGCAATATTGTTTTTTGAATCTGTCTCTTCAGATAAGGAAAATAAAAGCAAAAATAAACAACAGTGACCTAATCAAACTTAAATGCTTTTGCACAGTCAAGAAAATTATCAACAAAACAAAAAGCAACCTATTTAATGGGGAAGATATATGCAAATGATACATTTGATAAGGGGTCAATATTCAAAATGTGTAAAGAACTCATACAGCTCAGTATCAAGAAAAATAAAACAACCTGAATAAAAAAATGAGCTTAGGACTCAAAAAAGCATTTTTCCAAAGAGGACATACATATGGCCAACAAGCACATCAAAAGATGCTTAACATCAATAGTTATCAGCAAAATGCAAATCAAAACCACAATAACATATGATCTCATACTTTTCAGAATGACCATCATCAGAAAGACAAGAAATACAAATTGTTGGCAAGGATGAGGAGACAAGAGAAGCCTGGTACACTGTTAGTTGGAAATATAACTTGGTGCAGCCACTATGGAAAACAATATGAAAGTTCCTCAAAAAATTATAAATAGAACTACCATATGATCCAGCCATTCCAATTCTGGGTATTTATTCAAAGAGAATGAAAGCACTAATTAGAAAATATATGCACAACAAAGCTCTTAGCGGCATTGTTTATAATAGCTAAGATATGGAAGCAACCTAATTGTCTATCAATAGATGAATGGATAAAGAAGATGTGGTATCTGTAGGTACAATTATATGTTACTTAGCCATAAAACGAATGAAATAATACCACTTGCAACAATATGGGTGGGCCTAGATGGTATTATTCTTAGTGAAATGTCACAAATATTCTTAGTGAAATAAGTCACAAATAAGTGAAATAAGAAACACAAATATTATATTATTTCACTTATATGTGAAATCTAAAAATAAAACAAATAAACAAATATAACAAAACAGAAACAGATTCACAGATACAGAAAAAACTTGTGGTTACCAGTGGGGAGAGGGCTGTGGGAGTGGCAAGGTAGTTGAAGGGGATTAAGAAGTACAAACTGCTAGGTACAAAAGAAACAGTTATGAGGATATAATGTATGGCACAGGGAATATAGCCAATATTTATAATAACTTCATATGGGGTATGTGCTGTGCTTTGCTTAGTTGCTCAGTCGTGTCTGACTCTGTGACCCCATGGACTGTAGCCTTCCAGGCTCCTCTGTCTGTGGAATTCTCTAGGCAAAAATATTGGAGGGGGTAGCCATTCTCTTCTCCAGGGCATCTTCCCTACCCAGGGACCTAACCAGAGTCTGTGACATTGCAGGCAGATTCATTACTATTTGAGCCACCAGAGAAGCCCCATTTCATTGATGAGGTAATATTAATGGAGAAGAAAAAAAAAAAGCTAAACCTCATAAGGCATCAAGAAAATACAAGTTGAGATGACAATGAGATATAATTTACATGTACTAGATGGACAAACATTTACAGTCTGTAGGACAAACATTTACAGTCTGAAAATACCAAGTCAAGTGTTAGCAAGGATGTGAACAACCACTGTTAGGAGTATAAAGTGTTCAACCACTTTGGAAAACAGTCTGGCAATATAATGCACATGTGAACCATTTTATACTATAGCCCAGCAATTTTATTCCTAGATATATACTCTGCATAAAAATTCTTGCACACATGTATTGAAAGACCTTTCTAGAATGTTCATAAAAGCATTAAGCAACAAACTGGAAACATAAATGTCTACTTAAAAATGGATAGAAATAAATTATGATATATTTATACAGTGGCAATACAATCTTGAGAACAAATGAGAGTTACAAGAGAGTGGATGAATCTTGGAGTAAAAAGCAAGATTGAAAGACTAGACACATGTTGTAACAGTTTTACATTTATTAATATATAAAATAAGAACTGTATTTGTTGATATGTCTATGTGTATTAATAATACAACTATTTAGAAACCAAGAGAATGGAAAGTCAAAAATCCGAGATGATAGAAGGAGCACTCAGGTGGCTTCAAGGGTCATGGCAATATTTTCCTTATGTTTGCTTCATAATTTATAGATTTGTCACTTATTATTTGGTATATCTCAAATATTTTGTATACTATGTATATGATATAATAGAACAAGACAAATATTCTCATAGAAATTGCTACCTATACGGTTAAGTTTCTGCCAGGAAGTACATGATGACCGAAGACAGAGAGTCCAGACAGTCTCTGTGGTGTCTACCTGACTTTCCCTCTTCTTAGCTTCCTGAGCCTGGAAAAGTTACTGAAGTGCTCTGTGTCTCAGTTTTCACATCTGTGCAAGGGGAGCGCTGAAAGAAATTATGTTTATTTTGTTCATCATGAGGATGAAATGCATTTATAAATGTAAAGCATTTAGAAAAGTGCCCGGTCCACGGCAAGCTGTGTGTCTGCTCTCATTTTCATCACTCTGGGGACTGGATGCACAAACTGTCCTAGTCTCAGCTTACTTATTTTCACAATGGGATCATTGGATTATTGTGAAATAATAAATATAAGAAAAATGACATTGTGCAAAGAAATCATTAGATAGTAGATGAAATACAATTATAAAGATTTGACTCAGTGTCATGGATTGCCTTTATTTGGTTTTGAAATGAAAGAACTAGTCACATGGCAAAGAACTAAAGATGCTACTTCTTGAGATGATTTATGTAGTAAGGCAATGACCTTCTTATATGTGGAGCTAGCCATGGCATGTACTAGCTTTTTACTAACATCCCT